AGCACAGCTCAGCACAACAGAGCACGCAGGGCTAGCGCGCAGGGCACACTTTCTCGACACCGTAGGGGGTGCGCAGGAGGTGGTTCCCTATCCGCGCCGGTCGTCCAGGGCATAGCAGGCGTGGCACTTTCTCGACACCATAGGGGGTGCGCACGGGGTGGTCCCCCTATCCGCGCCGGTCGTCCAGGCCGTAGCAGGCGTGGCACTTTCTCGACACCATAGGGGGTGCGCAGGGGTGGTCCTAGGGGGTGCGCAGGGGGTGGTCCCCCTATCCGCGCCGGTCGTCCAGGCCGTAGCAGGCGTGGCAGTTTCTCGACGCCATAGTGGGTGCGCACGGGGTGGTCCCCCTATCCGCGCCGGTCGTCCAGGCCGTAGCAGGCGTGGCCCTTTCTCGACACCATAGGGGGTGCGCAGGGGGTGGTCCCCCTGGCCGCGCCGGTCGTCCAGGCCGTAGCAGGCGTGGCAGTTTCTCGACGCCATAGTGGGTGCGCACGGGGTGGTCCCCCTATCCGCGCCGGTCGTCCAGGCCGTAGCAGGCGTGGCAGTTTCTCGACACCATAGGGGGTGCGCACGGGGTGGTCCCCCTATCCGCGCCGGTCGTCCAGGCCGTAGCTGGCGTGGCACTTTCTCGACACCATAGGGGGTGCGCACGGGGCGGTCCCCCTATCCGCGCCGGTCGTGCAGGCCGTAGCAGGCGTAGCAGTTTCTCGACACCATAAGGGGTGCGCAGGGGGTGGTCCCCCTATCCGCGCAGGTCGTCCAGGCCGTAGCAGGCGTGGCAGTTTCTCGACGCCGTAGTGGGTGCGCACGGGGTGGTCCCCCTATCCGCGCCGGTCGTCCAGGCCGCAGCAGGCGTGGCACTTTCTCGACGCTGTAGTGGGTGCGCAGGGGGTGGTCCCCCTATCCGCGCCGGGTTGTCCAGGCCGTAGCAGGCGTGGCAGTTTCTCGACGCCGTAGTGGGTGCGCACGGGGTGGTCCCCCTATCCGCGCCCGTCGTCCAGGCCGTAGCAGGCGTGGCACTTTCTCGATACCATAGGGGCTGCGCAGGGGGTGGTCCCCCTATCCGCGCCGGTCGTCCAGGCCGTAGCAGGCGTGGCAGTTTCTCGATACCATAGGGGGTGCGCAGGGGGTGGTCCCCCTTCCGCGCCGGTCGTCCAGGCCGTAGCAGGCGTGGCAGTTTCTCGACGCCGTAGTGGGTGCGCACGGGGTGGTCCCCCTATCCGCGCCCGTCGTCCAGGCCGTAGCAGGCGTGGCACTTTCTCGATACCATAGGGGCTGCGCAGGGGGTGGTCCCCCTATCCGCGCCGGTCGTCCAGGCCGTAGCAGGCGTGGCACTTTCTCGATACCATAGGGGGTGCGCAGGGGGTGGTCCCCCTATCCGCGCCGGTCGTCCAGGCCGCAGCAGGCGTGGCAGTTTCTCGACGCCGTAGTGGGTGCGCACGGGGTGGTCCCCCTATCCGCGCCGGTCGTCCAGGCCGTAGCAGGCGTGGCAGTTTCTCGATACCATAGGGGGTGCGCACGGGGTGGTCCCCCTATCCGCGCCGGTCGTCCAGGGCAGAGCAGGCGTGGCACTTTCTCGACACTTAGGGGGTGCGCAGGGGGTGGTCCCTGAGCGCGGCCGCTATCCGAGACGGTCGTCCA